GAAGCCGGTGCTGTGTGGCTCCATCAAATTCCAACACCTGACATTTGATTCCATTAAAAATAAATCACATCACTTGCTGCATATTCGATGTTGCGGAATTATTTGTCAAGCAATTTTGGTCAGGGTCTGTTCCAGTTTTTCTCATTTTGGCATGCAAATTTTAGTTGTGTGGCTTCGAGCGTTGCGTATACGCAGCGTGTTCTCACCATCATATTTCTTTATGGCCAAGCTATAAACTGCAAGTCAGAAAGTCAGATACACACGCATATGAATTTTTGGTGCGTGGTCTTTGTAATTGAAAAAAGTAACAGAACAAGAAAAAATGGTAAGGCTAAAAAGGAAAAACCAAATTGAAAAATGCTTTTCAAGCGGCGCTTTTGAAGCAGCAGCGACCTTGTGCCGCTCCCCTCCCGCGGATGTTCCTTTCTAGACTCCCTGCATTTTTGCAGCATCATGCCAACTAATTTTCCAAATGACGCAAGTTAATTGCGACGGGCTCAGCCTTTGTCAAAGGTGAAAAATGCCCAGGCCAGACTGGAAAGAGGGGAAAAGAACGGCTACAGGGTAGCAAAGGGGCAGGCACAAAGCCAAGGCGCATTCATTAAGCCAAATCATATTAAGTAAATATGTCGAGCAGCCGAAGGAGGTAAGAACACTGTCAGAAAAGGGGTGTTTGTGCTGCAAGGCAAGGCTATTGTACCTGTCTAGCTTGAGAACATTTCAGAAAAACCCATAAGGTCTTAAGTTATGCTTAGCTTATTTCAGGATCTATGATAGCAATTGATGTAGAATTGAACACATTTACTTAACAATGCACATCATGTTCTCTGTTTAAATTTAAGCTCTAGATAAATTCTGATGGTTAGCTAACCCAAAGTTGTTTGAAATTAACAAAGCTCCTAATGTGATTACTTGATATTATTATGAAAGGTTTCTTCTTTAGATCGTCATTACAAAATGTAACCACCAGATAACTTCCAATGGTTAGTTAACCCAAAGACGCTTATAGGGCCTTTATCCAACTTTCGTAATTGAGTTAGGCAAGGTTTTATAAGGAGACCGTTATATTCAATTTTATTCAATTATTAAGTTTAATGATAATTTTTAATGGTTAGTTCACCGCAAGATGCCTAAAAGTCCCTATACCAAACCTCCTAGCTTAAAAACCTGATATAACGAGGATACAGAGTCGTTCCCAAAGGTTCTCCAATACAATTTAGAGGACAGCAGCAATTCCTCAGCCCAATTTCTCCAGGTGTACGATCTATGGGGCGCCTGTCACGGCTACCGCTGGCCACTCCCTGCCTTCAAGACCTCTGGCGCCTTCTTCCCGAGTGGAGAAAGAAGCCGGAGAACCACAAACAAATTAGTCAATGACGCGGCGAGATCTTCCCCAGTGTATTTTCATTAATATTTTATTGCTTAATTCCTTTTGTTATGCTGATTATGCCGACGCAGAGCGCACAGTGAACAAATGAGGCTGCTGTTCATGGGAAAACGGCGCGGATCGTTGCATGATTTTCAATAATTTAACAGCGGCTTTCAATATAATCCCTTCGTCGAGTCGAGCTTTTCTGTGATCTGCTAGCCACACGGCTGTCTCTTTGTTTCCCGGCACAAATGTTAATTTCAGTTTGTCTCGGTAATTTATCATCTTTCGTCTGTTCCTTTTTTTTCTCTCTCTGTGATGTCTTTAAACGCTTTTAATTAAAACCAATGCGCATGTGTAACTTTCTTAAGCAGGCCCCAAAGAGTTGGCTCAAAGTATACACATATATATATTTTTTTTTTGTCTAGTCGCAGCCGTTGCTTTGAACTTGGCCGACAGGCGCGTTTGTTAAATGATTGATGTGGTATTAATTTTAATAAACGTTTCTCGTTCCTCTCTGCTCCATCAATATGCAGATCCGTAGGAGAACGAGACCGAAAGACTAAAGACTGGGAGACTGGGAGACTGAGGACTGAAGACTGAAGATTGGGAGACCGTGGCTTGGAGACCAGGGGCCAGTTTATATGGGAGCCACAGCTCGTTTCGTTCTGCGGTTCTTGGCAAATACATTTTTTATGGGCACACGCAGTTGCGTGGCGTCTGCACTTTGGTTGGAAAAAGTGAAAAATAAAGGAAAACAAGAGGAAAACGTGGAAAAAGGGGGCGGGCCGGTGGCCAGGGGCAGCAGATTGCCATTGCCTCAATCACATTGCGCCCATTTGGCGTTGCTGACTCTATTAAAAGTGTCATGCGATTCATGCAAATCCCCAGACGAGGGGAAAATTCTAAAATTCCCCAGGTTCAACCTGCCACATAATAACTTTTAGTTATTAAAATAATAAAAATGGGTATGGTAAATTGATTTAAAGTATTTATGGAGCTTAAAAAAATGTTAGAAACAATAGATATTTATGTGTTAGCTTTTATTGAATTTATTTAAAATCAATAATAACAAATGGCATTTTAACTCCTTTTTTTCAAAAATAGTGTTGGCAACCGCTATACTTTTCTATCGACATTGATTTCAAGTGGATAGCTTAATATATATACTAGAAACAGGGTTTTCAGAGTATTTCTTGAATGATATACGACATTGACCCTAAATTAATTAGACTAATAACAGAGTATTGAAACGAAATATTTCGAATTACAGGGCTCGCACTATGATATTATGTGATGTGTGGCAAGATCATAGGCTTTTGCATAATCTGCTAATTGAAAGCCGAATTGAAATCGAAATCGAGAGCAAAGGCAAAAGCCCGGAGGAGTCATATATGTACAAAACGATCATTAGCGGAAATCTGTCTTAGTTTTTCGGGCCAGATCAAAGGCCCGGACGAGATTGATGAGCGAATTTTGGATCGGGGCCAGAAGATCATTATGAACGGTGATGCGTTTTAGCCTTTAAGTGTTTGCTTCCGCCGCCGAGTCGAGAAGTCAGCGTGGAAATACGATCTGTAGAGTTTTGCCAAAAAAATAAAGTAGGCCCGGGAATGATTCCATCGTTAGCTTCACACCTCAAGTGAGCCTGAATAATTGATTTTGAAAGCGAGAAACGGCGCCTACCTGGTCTCAGTATCCCCGAATATCCATAGTATCTGTATCTGTATCTGCAGCTCTAGGTATCTGTGGCCCATACCGTGAAATCCGTTGGCACACAGAAACACACAGGGAAATCAGGGGCTGAACAAGCCGCGTCCAATCGATTTGTGTCCCGTTCCCTGGCATTAGATACTCCCAATCCCGATGAGTTCCAATCATCATCATCACATCCTCACAAAAGGGATTCCAGCTGAGCGGCTGACAAAAGGTGTGCGCTACTGTGAATTCCTCGGATGCGGATGCGAATTTGAATCGGAATCGGCATCTGAATCCAAATCATTGTTTGTTTATGGCTGTTTATTGTCAATGCTAATGCCGTGTAAGTGGTTGATTTGTTCGATAGAGGCGACAATTGGAAAAGTAACCACCGGCAAATGGTAGATACTTGGCCGTTTTGGCAGCTCGGTATTCATAAGATACTTTTTCCATAAAACAACTTTACTTCTCCACGCGAATGATTTATGTCGAAATGCTCGAGTGTCTGTGGGATGCATTCATCAAATCATGACTAACTCGAAAAATACCCGCCAGCCACTTGTCCGCAGTGAGCTCACATATGTATCCATGAGATACTCGGGGCGATATTCTACAAAGAGATCTATGAAATGCACAGTCCAGGCACTTGGCATTTTTGTTGGCCGCAAAATGGACCTGTTTTTGTGGGCTAGTTGCCACCGTTTTGAATTCTAATTGGGCAGTATGTCCATAAATATAAGTAAAGTATATGTTTATGTATCCATTCGATTAAATACAGATTTATTTAAATACATAATATTTAAAAAATGAGTTTGGGCAAGGCTATGACATTTTTTAATAGCCTATACCTATACCACTAACTTTTCCAGAATTGTATTTATTTTTGAACCAGTTTGGAAACCTTTAGAGATTGTATCTACTTTTAAAATACTCTCTATATACAATTGCCTTTAAAATTAAAATTTTACCTATAAAATAAAATGCAACTACAGCAAAGACAAGCAACTTTTTTATTTGGTTAGTATTTTGCTAGATGGGTACCAATGTTTTAAAGAGTGTGATAAATTGTATCTTTTACCAAGATGAAATGTATCTAAAGTATACCCGGGATTAATATGGATACTATTATTAAACTGTTGAAAAATGTGCATTATATTTGGCTTTAGTTAGATGTGTAGAAACTTTTTAGTGCTTATAACCGACACTTTTGTATCTAAGGAGTATCTAGCCTATACGTATATATTTTTTCTGGCTAAATGTAAATATTATTTTAGAAACTGTATCATGTATCCCATTCATATCCAAAGATAGTATCTAGGGAGGGTTTTTTTTTCTATAAGGACATATCGATAAAAATCAACTGATTTTAAAGGAATTGTGCAGAATATGTATCTCAAAAGCTAAAAATTGTATCTAGAGTCTAACTCCCATAGATTCTATCTAAGGAGTATCTAGCTTATATGTTCTTGCATTTTCTGGGCTTGTAGATAATATTTTAAAAGATAAAAGGCAATTCTTTCTAAAGAGAATGAGCATAATATGTATCTCTTATCCAACAATTGTGTTCCCAAACTTTATAAGGTCAATGTAGATAAGATATCATTAGATGGAAGGCAATTGTTTGTAATTGTAAGTATAGTCTATAAGAACATATATATTATATCGATGTTACTTTATTAAGTGATTGTGCATATTACACCCTAAAATGCTATCTAAAGACCAAATGCCTTCTTGAATCCCACTTCATGAGTTTAATGTAGATGGGATATCATTAGAGAAAAGGCAATTGTTTGTAATTGCCCAGAGAGATGCACCGCGATAAGAGCATCTAAAGTGACCCATCTGGGAGATACGTATCTGGGAATCCGAGGATTTCGATTCCGATTCCGTTTCGGTTTTCGGTTTTCAGTTTTCGGGTTCGGGATAGGCTTACCGGATTAACTTGTGGCTTCTGCAAGTGTGTGGCGATGTTGGTGATGTTCATGCCCATGGCCGGGATCTGGGATCCGTAGAGCTGACCGGCTGTGGGGGTCATGTCCGTTAGCATGTTTGTCGCAGTGTATGTTGCTGCTGCTGCCGCCGATGTTGCTGCTGCAGTTGCAGTTGCAGTTGCAGTGGTCGTTGCTGCTGCTGCTGCTGCCGCTGTCAATTTGAGGCGCACAATGATGGTGTCTTTTTTTCAATTGTTTTGCGGCCACTTGGGTTCGCACAATGGTTAGGGTTCGTCTTCTGGTTTGGTTTTCTATACTTTTCGTATCTTTTCTTTTTTGCTTTCTGTGGCTATTGTTGCAGAAGAGGCTCACTGGTTTTTACTGAAGAGAGTAAGGGAAATAGAGACATAAAGGACATGGACATGTGTGTATTTTGGGATTGGCAAGCACAGCACAGCACAGCACAAGCACACACGCACTCAGAAAAAAAGCAAATGGGCAGCAAATCGCGTAAGGATTAGCCCAGATAGTATCCGTATCTGTATCTGTATCTTTTTTGTGAGTCCGTCGGCGCTGCACTTTTGTTCACTCGGCCGTCGGCTGATGTTTGCTGATGTGTTTGCCCTCTACAGTTGCAATGTTTGACTGCTCTTATTGTCACTGGTTATTGGATTTTAGATATAATACTTTAGGGGATTTTTGTAGTAAGGAACACAGGCAAAAAAAGAAATGTAAGCGATCAAATTAAAGGAATCTCGAACCAAAAATGCACAGTTGTTTTTCGATTTAGCTTGTCTGCTGGGTTGTTGGCTTGTTTATGTTTGTTTATGCTTTGTTTATGCTTTGTTTGTTGGCCAGTTGGCTTGTTTATTTGTTTGTTTATCGGTTTGGTTTGCTTGTTGGGTGACAGGAGGCGCCTGCCAACGAGAAAAAAAAGTGTCGCTGCTGTATCCGCGCCAAAAGTAACGCCGTCGTCGCTGATCGTTCAAAGGCTTGCAACTGTTTCACGCGAACAAAAAGCTTGGCTAAATGTCGCCGCTGCCGCCGCCGCTGTCGCAGTCGCTGCCTCGGCCGGCGTCGCCGTGGCAGCGGTGCGAGCGGGACACCGAGTTCAAAAGTATACCCACTTTTTTCCACTTCGTAGCGCTCGCCCCGTTGGGATCCCCATTTACCGAAGGGCAGTGCAAGCGAGACGGTCGTACAGACAACCCATCTCGTTCGAAGAAACCACCACCAACACTCTCTTTTCGGTGGTGCGAATGGGTGCCCACATAGAGATGAGAGATATATGTATTTGTGTTTCGGTGGTGGTGCGCTCCTTTCCTTCTCCCATCACCCCAGAGTTTCATTCATAAAAACCCCGGCGCGCGGTGGGAAAACCAGTTCCCAGAGCTCAGCCCCCTCTATATGGTCGCTTCAACCAATGGGATTTCGGCCGGGCCTAACCTATAATTAGAGCGATGGCCGCTGTGCGAGCGAGATGGCACGCGGCACACGGGACACGTGCCCCTCTCGCCATCTCTTTCCGCCCTTCCGGCGGCCCTCTCTTTCAATCGCGTGCCTGCGTGGAAAATTAAAACCCAAACTCAAACTCAAACCCAAAAACAAATGCAGCAGGCCCAACTATCTTCAATTAAATGTTCGCCTATGTTGATTTCCCAGAACTGACTAGCTAGCCAGCTAAAAAAAATGGGGAAAAACAAAAAAAGGGTATACAAAATAAAGAATAGAAATCCACGCAAAATGAAAAATTGTTTTTCATTTCAACGTTTTGGTCCTATCGGTGGTAGTTATCAGTTATCAGAGTTATAGGCAAAAAAAAACAGTCACCGGGAAGGTGGTGTGTTTTTACCCCAAAAACAACTGAATTAGGGGTAAGGGAATTTGGTCAGCTTTGCGGGAAAATAACCAAGAAACTTATTTTCCACAAGCTTTGCCCCCAAAAGTAGACTACCTTTGCACTGGGCCACTTTAAGCGGACCTAACTTGACCAAATTATGATGTGATCTATGAACAACAGAAATAAAAGGTCTGTTCTAAGCAGAGTTATACATTATTTTTCTTAAATTTCTTATAGATACATTCCAGCTCGTTAAACTAAAAATGTATAGTTCTATAATTAGTAACAATATTTCTTAATAGAAACACTTATCATTGCGGCAAAAGTTCTGAATTAAGAGATTATTAAAAATACTTATATGGGTCGAGCCCAAAGAAAAGTTGAAGATATCTGTTTCAGAGTCTAAAGATATTATAAACGTTTTAAAATTTACCTGATAAAAATCTTCCTTCTTTTGAAGATTATTCCCTTTCATTATTATAATCTTGAAGCATTAGGGCCTTAAGACAATGGAAGAATTTGACTAACTGATTCAATTTAATTTAAAACGTCTTGGCAACCATACTATAATTTAAATGTTCTTAGGATATACCCCTCTTAGTCTTCAAAACATGTTTCTCCGTGCTATAAAAATCGAAACTATTACACCTTAAGAACCCTAAGATAGATGAGTAACAGGATTGACCCATGTCCCTCCACTCAATGAGATTTCGGGGACTAAATCCAGATTAACCCGTGCCACTTGGCCCTCCCACAGCTGGAAGCTGTTGCATTTTTGGGCTGCAGCTGAGAAGCGGGCTAATTGAACCACACCCCCCGTACCGCCCCGCCCCTCCCAGCCCCTCCCCTCTCCTCACCACCTCTGGCCGCCTTATGCAAACAAAACGCCCAGACAGCCGAAAAACGACAGCCCCTGAAAAGCTGAAAAGTCCAACAACTGCGGACTGTCGATGGAGGTGGATGATGTGGACGTGGAAGTGGATGTGGATGTGGATGTGGATGTGGATGTGGATGTGGATGTGGATGTGGATGTGGAAGTGTGCCCAGCACAAGTCGCCTGGCCGCGGGAAATTCTCTGCACAGCGGGAAAATCAAAACGCTGTTTAGTCCGATGAAGAATAGTTATAGATTTAACAACATAAATGAAATGGGTCTTTGGCTAGAGGTATAATAGCTTAACATTTTTTTATATTCTACATATTCCCTTAAAGTAAACCTACTTTTAATACTAAGACTTAGAAAGTTACTATAAATTACCATAAATTTAGATTTATCAATATCAAATTTTGTGCATTAGTAGAATATTTCAAAATGTACATTATAAACTCTTTGTTATAATCATAAATAGAATTTCGTTTGGAGAAAATTTAAATATAATCTAACGAAGAGCTAAAATAAAACCTAATTAAAATTTCTTACTTAACCGATATACCTATACAACCTCTTAGTATTATTAATTTCTGTTTAGTTTTTCAACACTCTTGCACTCACTGGGCTGTGAACCTCAGACCTCTTGCGGTAAAATATCTAGTTTTAAATCTTATACCCTTTTTTTTTAAGCCTATGTTATTTAATAACATTTTTTAATCGCCTGTAAATAATAGATTATTTGCAGTACTGCCAGGAATGAGGGCTTCCATTTCTAGCCCTGGAGTCAGTTGGCCAATTCTGGTTTCTTGCAGTGAGTGGAGATTGGAGGAACCGGGGACTCCGACTCACGACCCTGCTGCAGGACAAATGCAACACATTAAGCGGTGGGCGGTGGGCGGCGGGTGGTTTAGGTGGGTGTTGGGCGCAGTGGGCGGAGTGGGCGGGGCCGGGGGGTGTGCACAAAGTCGCTGGCAAGGCCAAGCAACTTCCTGACTCCCCATGGCCATGGAGTTGCGGTTGGACCTCATCAGCTGGGCAAACTGATAAGCCTGACTGATTGCACCGGGGCATCCCCTTTTCCCCATTTCCCATTTTCCACATTTTCCACATTTCCCTGGCCAGTTCCTTCTCTTTCGCTGAGATTCATGCGAGCGAATCAGCTTTCTGCACTCTACCTCTCTGTCTCACCGGACACAAGCCTCTCTCTTTCACTCCCGCGCAGGGTGGTCTGCCACGCATTTTCCCGCCGCTTTTCCGGCCCCCATTTCCCCCACCCCCCACTTTCCACTTTCCACTTGTGGGTGGTTACCTCTCGGCATTGTTGCCTTTTTTGAGTGGCTCTGATTGCCTCACATCAAGTCGATACATGTGTAAAGAGACAGTGGGGATTGGCTAAGATGGAGAGAGCGGGTAATCCTTTGATAAGACTAAGATTATCTTAAGACTGTTAAGGTCTTGTAACTGAACAACAGGTTTCTTCAACTTGAAAGAAATTTAATATTCATTGTAATTTAATTTTTAAAACGAGACAATAATGTTTTTAATAGAGATAAACCCAACTCAGTTTTGAAAGAATATTGAAAAGGAATGGTTCCAATATAAAATGCTTAGAACCAATGAACTTGTAATAAAATAAGCCCAAATAAAGAGCTTACAATAGTAAAATTTAATTTAATGTATTGATATTAACCCGAATCGTAAGAATATTTAATATATTTTTATAATAAAATTTTTTCAGATATTTAACATATTTGTAAGATCCAATAAAATTAATATTTTTAAAGCTAAGTTCTAGCCAACCACCTAACTAAAAACCTTCAAATTATCGTGTTGAAATGTCAGTATTTCTTTAAGAAATAAGTCCTTAGCATTTTTCCTAAATCTAATCTTATTTAAAATAGGATTTTGTTGCATTTTTTTTCTGGAATCTTTTTTAGTATTTTAGACCATTTCGTGCACTCTCAGTTTTTTTGATAGATGTTCCCTGTATGTTTTAAGCATTACTCTTCGGATTCAAGCACGACTTTATTTACGATTTCATTAATTCAATGCACGCACTGCTCGAAATCGTCGGCGTTCTATTTCTCCTCGGTGTTTTCTAACTCCCTCGGCAATTTTGCCAACTTCACTTGGGGCGTGGCCCATTTGCGGGGAGGTCCTCGACGAGGACGAGGACGAGGACGAAAACGAGGACTGGAGGTCCTGGCGATGATTTGCACTTTCGTTCATTGTGCCTGTCAACAATTATAATGACACTCTTATTGTCAGCCATTCGAGACTTTCAGCTTTCTGCTTCGCTTAATTAAACCATTTTGCAATTTCGCCAAAGTTCTGCAGCCACGCCCCCGCGCCGCCTGAATGGCCCTCAAAGTGGCAGTCGTCGTAGTCGCGACTTTTATGCATTTAATTAAAAATTAAATTTTTAATTGCACTCAGTCGCTGGCGATTTTCTCCCTTTTCCCCGGCTCGTTGTTTTCTGTATTTTTTTTGCTTTATTGCGCTTTTTAATTAAATTGTTTGCAACACCCACAAAGTGACAGGCGACGACAGGCTTTAGTTTTAATTTCACTCGGCTGGTGATGTTCTATCTCAATTAAATATCACTCGAATTGATTAGCACATTGTTGGAACGGAGATGATATAGTCTAGTGGTATAAAATTGCCAAAAAGTGGTCCAAATTGTGTGATTTATGGGTATAGAATGAAGACTAATTTGTTTTTCATTTATATTACTCATCAGCAGAAATTAATAAACTTAAACGATTATTAATTGAAACATTTAGAACATTTAAAATAATCCCCAGAAACCCATATAAAATTTAAATCACTGTAACTATCCCCTTTGAATTGCGTTCGATGAATGTGAAACTTTTAGTGAAATTACACCATTAGTGAGTATTTATTTGGTGGTTGACTTTTCGCTCGAATCAAATGGATTTCATTGCGAACGTATTGGGGGCATAAAATAAAAGTAACCCCCGAATGCAGGAACTAAAACTACTCGAGGCTATTTTACGGATATCAAAATACAATTCAGACAAATCCAAGGGTGGGGAAAAAGGGGGCAGGGGGCAGGGGGCACCCAAGCCCCTGGGCCTCATGAATGCGAATGTAAATGTTGTTGGCAACGCGGTTAAAGTTGTGGTTGTCTTTCTGGTGCTTGAGTAAAAGTACAAGTTATGCGTCAAAACAACGAAAGCAGCCAAGAGCAAGAGGATATGGCGTTGGGAAGGAGGTTTCCGAGGCGGTGGAGGGGGTTTTGGGGAGTCCAAGTTCGTTCCTCTAA